TCCCCCCCCCCCCCCAGCCTCACGCTGCTTTCCCCCCCCCCCCCCCCAGCCTCACGCTGCTTTTCACCCTCCCCCCCCCCCAGCCTCACGCTGCTTCCCCCCCCCCCCCAGCCTCACGCTGCTTTCCCCCCCCCCCAGCCTCACGCCTCATAACGCTGCTTCACCCCCCCCCCCCCAGCCTCACGCTGCTTCCCCCCCCCCAGCCTCCCCCCCCCCCCAGCCTCACGCTGCTTTCCCCCCCCCCCCCCAGCCTCACGCTGCTTTCCCCCCCCCCCCCCCAGCCTCACGCTGCTTTCCCCCCCCCCCCCCAGCCTCACGCTGCTTTCCCCCCCCCCCCAGCCTCACGCTGCTTTCCACCCCCCCCCCCTGCCCCCTCCCTGCTTGCCTCCCCCCCCCCCCCAGCCTCACGCTGCTTTCCCCCCCCCCCCCCCCCCCAGCCTCACGCTGCTTTCCCTCCCCCCCCCCCCCCAGCCTCACCTGCTTTCCCATCCAACCCCCCCCCCCCCCCCCCAGCCTCACGCTGCTTTCCCCCCCCCCCAGCCTCACGCTGCTTTCCCCCCAGCCCCCCCCCCCCCCCCAGCCTCACGCTGCTTTCCCCCCCCCCCAGCCTCACGCTGCTTCCCCCCCCCCCCCCCCCCAGCCTCACGCTGCTTTCCCCCCCCCCCCCAGCCTCACGCTGCTTTCCCCCCCCCCCCCCCCCAGCAGCCTCACGCTGCTTTCCCCCCCCCCCCAGCCTCACGCTGCTTTCCCCCCCCCCAGCCTCACGCTGCTTCCCCCCCCCCCAGCCCTCGACGCTGCTTTCCCCCCCCCCCCAGCCTCACGCTGCTTTCCCCCCCCCCCCAGCCTCACGCTGCTTTCCCCCCCCCCCCAGCCTCACGCTGCTTTCCCCCCCCCCCCAGCCTCACGCTGCTTTCCCCCCCCCCCCCCAGCCTCACGCTGCTATTCTCCCCCCCCCCCCCCCCCCCCAGCCTCACGCTGCTTTCCCCCCCCCCCCCCCCAGCCTCACGCTGCTTTCCCCCCCCCCCCCCCCCCCCCCAGCCTCACGCTGCTTTCCCCCCCCCCCCCCAGCCTCACGCTGCCCCCCCCCCCCCCCCCCCCAGCCTCACGCTGCTTTCCCCCCCCCCCCCAGCCTCACGCTGCTTTTCCCCCCCCCCCCCCCCCCCCAGCCTCACGCTGCTTTTCCCCCCCCCCCCCCCCCAGCCTCACGCTGCTTTCCCCCCCCCCCCCCAGCCTCACGCTGCTTTCCCCCCCCCCCCCCCCAGCCTCACGCTGCTTTCCCCCCCCCCCCCCCCCAGCCTCACGCTGCTTTCCCCCCCCCCCCCCCCCAGCCCTCACGCTGCTTTCCCCCCCCCCCCCCCAGCCTCACGCTGCTTTCCCCCCCCCCCCCCCCAGCCTCACGCTGCTTTCCCCCCCCCCCCCCCCCCCACGCTGCTTTTCCCCCCCCCCCCCAGCCTCACGCTGCTTTCCCCCCCCCCCCCCCCCCCCCCCCAGCCCTCACGCTGCTTTCCCCCCCCCCCCCCCCAGCCTCACGCTGCTTTCCCCCCCCCCCCCCCCCAGCCTCACGCTGCTTTCCCCCCCCCCCCCCAGCCTCACGCTGCTTTCCCCCCCCCCCCAGCCTCACGCTGCTTTCCTCACCCCCCCCCCCCCCCAGCCTCACGCTGCTTTGCCTCCCCCCCCCCCCCCCCCCAGCCTCACGCTGCTTTTCCCCCCCCCCCCCAGCCTCACGCTGCTTCCCCCCCCCCCCCTCCTCCGCGCTTCACTCTGCTCCCCCCCCCTCCTCCGCGCTTCACTCTGCTTCCCCCCCCCCCGCGCTTCACTCTGCTTCCCCCCCCCCCGCGCTTCACTCTGCTTCCCCCCCCCCCCCCCCCCCCCGCGCTTCACTCTGCTTCCCCCCCCCCGCGCTTCACTCTGCTTCCCCCCCCCCGCGCTTCACTCTGCTTCCCCCCCCCCCCCCCAGCCTCACGCTGCTTCCCCCCCCAACCTCACGCTGCTTCCCCCCCCCCACTCCCCGCGCTTTACTCTGCTTCCCCCCCCCTCCCCCGCGCTTTACTCTGCTTTACCCCGCTTCATTCTGCTCGCCACGCTTCACGCTGCTTGTATGTGTATATGTATGTATGACTTTGTGCGGCCCTGTAGCAGTGATCCTCCATAGGGCGGTATGTGAGCGGTTCAGATGCCCCCCCCTTCCCCCTGAAGCTGATGGAAGGACCACCTCTGGTGGGGACATCACTGGGCCACCTCTGGTGGGGACATCACTGGCCCCCCGATGTGTCCTCCTAGTAAAGGTCGGCAGGTTCAGGATTTGTTGCTGTTGACGTTCAGTTTTGGGGGGAGCCCGGAGCTCCTGTGTCATGTGACCCAGATTGGGGGTCTCCATTCCTCATCAGTCTTTTCTGCTGTTTCCACAGATGACCCTCCCCTGACCTCACAGGTCACCCCACCCCCTAGTGATGGCCACACCCTCCTCTACAGGTAAATAAAATTGTGAACACGTCAGTTGAAGTCTCTCCAGGAGGGAATTTAGTTCAGTATGTCTGGAGGGGCCCTTTATTACAGGGGGCCAGTGAGGGGAATATGGGGTACATTAGGGGATAGGATGGGGGGGAGGAGATAGACTCACTATGGACCAAACAGCTTCATAGCCAAAGCAACAGGTTCTCTTTATGACTTCTGTCACGAATCGCAAGATTGCCGCCACCAACATGCGACAATCTCACGATCGCGACATCCATTATGTCGCGATCGCGGCGTCAGACCCCAGACCTTCTCACCAAACTCGTGACTGAAGGACTGGCCGATCTAAAACCCGCTATGTGACGTGCTTAACAATACCACGCCCAGCCGCACCCTGCACAAAGATTTTCCAGCTAATGGACTACAATCTATGTACCTGCGACCTGAGCGATTGTTACTGGGTCGGGTTAATTACGCAACTAACCCTCCACACTGCCACCACCGCCTTTTTGATCAGAGAAAGAGGAAACTCGCAATATCGCTATAACACTAATAATAATTGAAATAATCGTCCGCATAACCCGGTCATTGACACAGGCCGGTTATACAGAGAGTTAAACAAACAGTAGCGTCTCTTTAAAGGCAGGGATTCGTAAATTGCAATTAAGAGTTATAGAAACAGTTCAACACTTTCAGAAAGAGAGATTTATTACTAAAAGGGTCAAACAGGTGCAATAAAAATATTTACAGAGAAGATATAACTAAGATATATATACATATACAGGAAACAGCATAGCACAGCAAAGAGATAACAGAGAGAAGTTAAAGGGTTAAGTTACTTGCCAGTAAGCCTTTGATGTAAGTAGATCCAAGCTTTTTAGAGCAGAATGGTGCTTTGATCTCCTGCTGTTACGATGGAAAAATGGGAGATATCTTCAATTCTACTTTCCTTAGGCTTGACAGCCTGTTTTAAAGTTTCCCAGCAGGGGGTGGTTCTGAGGTAAGGGCTCGTTCACACTTGACTGTTTTACCAACGCTTGCCAAACGCCCCTATACTGTTTGGCAAGTGTTGGTCCGTCGTTTGCGGAGCGTTTTTTAATGCCCCGCATGCGCGGTTTAGTGGTGGTTGCTAGACATTTGCCGAGCGTTAAAAACGCCCCACAAATGCCTATAATGCAGTTTGAATGGTGTTACCACTCCGCAAACGCCCCGCTACTGCACCACAAACGCCGGCCGGGCGTTTGCTGAGCGGCACCATAGACTAGAATAGCAATAGGGTTGGGGGTTTGGCCCATGTTTAGGGTTGGGGGTTTGGCCCATGTTGGGGGTTGGCCCATGTTAGGGAGTCAGTAAGGGGTTCGTTGACGTTTTGGGGGTTAGGTGTGAGGAATAATTTGAGGGTCTCTCCCTTCTTGGTGGTGCTGTTTGTCTCTCCTTGTCCCCTGAAGGCCAGACGCACATCTTTCACTGTGCCTCTCAGGAAGGGAGGGGGGAACGAGAATGAGGGACTAACATATATCAGGAGGGTCAATTCCTCCGCCAAGATGGAGGTTGAGGCCAAAATGGTTGAACCGTGTCCATCTCTGATGTGCACGTTTGCAACAACTTCCTCCACTAATCCGATCCCCCGTGGGGGTGGGGAGGAACTCCTGACACCCCCCCCCCCCCGACCCTCTCATGTATAGGGTTAGAGGTTGGTGGTAAGGGGTTCAGGGTTTGGCCCATGTTCAGGGTTAGGTTCTGGCTTCATGTTTGTGGTTGGGGGTTTGGCCCATGTTCAGGGATGTGGGTTTGGCCCGTGTTCAGGGATGTGGGTTTGGCCCGTGTTCAGGGATGTGGGTTTGGCCCGTGTTCAGGGATGTGGGTTTGGCCCGTGTTCAGGGATGTGGGTTTGGCCCGTGTTCAGGGGTGGGGGTTTGGCCCGTGTTCAGGGGTGGGGGGTTTGGCCCGTGTTCAGGGGTGGGGGGTTTGGCCCGTGTTCAGGGGTGGGGGGTTTGGCCCGTGTTCAGGGGTGGGGGGTTTGGCTCGTGTTTTGGGGGTTGGCTCGTCTTTAGGGTTGGGAGGTTTGCCTGTGTTTCGGATTGGGGGGTTGGCCCGTGTTTCGGATTGGGGGGTTGGCCCGTGTTTCGGATTGGGGGGTTGGCCCGTGTTCAGGGGTGGGGGGTTTGGCCCGTGTTCAGGGGTGGGGGGTTTGGCCCGTGTTCAGGGGTGGGGGGTTTGGCTCGTGTTTTGGGGGTTGGCTCGTCTTTAGGGTTGGGAGGTTTGCCTGTGTTTCGGGTTGGGGGGTTGGCCCGTGTTTAGGGTTGGGGGGTTGGCCCGTGTTTAGGGTTGGGGGGTTGGTTCAGAGTCAGGGTTGGGGGGTTGGTTCAGAGTCAGGGTTGGCCCATGTTTAGGGTTGGGGGGTTGGCCCATATTCAGGGTCAGGTTTGGGGGTTGGCCCATGTTTCGGGTTGGGGGTTGGCCCATGTTGGGGGTTGGCCCATGTTAGGGAGTCAGTAAGGGGTTCGTTGACGTTTGGGGGTTAGGTGTGGGGAATAATTTGAGGGTCTCTCCCTTCTTGGTGGTGCTGTTTGTCTCTCCTTGTCCCCTGAAGGCCAGACACACTTCGTGGACCAGAATAGGGAGAAGCTGATTGGCTGCATAGACAATGTGGAGGTGGTCCTATCACAGCTGCTGCAGGACAATCTTCTCGTCTCCGAGGAGTACGAAGCCGTGAGGACCAGAACTACAAACAGGGAGAGAATGAGCAAACTCTTCTCCTTCATCCAGGACTGGACCAACTCCCAGAAGGACAAACTCTACCAAGCCCTCAAACTGAACTATCCAGCCACCGTGCGGTACATGGAGAAGACGATGGAGCAAGGTACCTACCTGTGTGCTTAGTACCTTACTGACCAGAGCACCCTTCAGTCCTGGGACACTTCATTATTAGGGGACCTGAGTAGGAAAGTATCGGGACATCTGTCCGTCTGACATCTTATACTGAGGCTATTAATTAGGAGTCCATCCTCTGTGTTGGCCTCCACAGGGAAGATCCTCTAGATTCTGGATCATTGGTTGGACTGAAATGTAGAGGACCATCAGTGGAGGCTTTGATGGCAGCAATGTAAGTGGCCACTACACTGACCACTGATATAAGGGGGTCCTTTTCCCATCGGTCACCAATGTAAGGGACCACTACACTGACCACTGATATAAGGGGGTCCTTCTCCCATCAGTCACCAATGTAAGAGACCGCTACACTGACCAGTGGTATAAGGGGGTCCTTCTCCCATCGGTCACCAATGTAAGGGACTGCTACACTGACCACTTATATAAAGGGGTCCTTCTCCCATCGGTTACCAATGTAAGAGACCGCTACACTGACCAGTGATATAAGGGGGTCCTTCTCCCATCGGTTACCAATGTAAGGATTTACCACTTCAGGTGACCATCAGTGGAGGCTTTGATGGCAGCCAAGGAGGATGGACTTGATCCTTTTGTAGGCCAGATGTTGGACAGACTGGTGTCTGGTGGCCATGTACTGCAGGTACCCACAGTATTTAATACCTAGTGTTGGTGAGGATGGAGAGATCGATGGATAGATGATTTTCGGAGGGACGGTTCAAAAGTGTTCTGGGTGGAGCAAAGGCTGAGAACAACCTGGAAGAGGGTTCTAGAGATCGGGTCAGCTGTAGGGGACCAGACTGAACAGCGCTTTGTGTGGCCGCCATGATACTTTATAGAATATTATCGTCTTTCACTGAATCTGGTAACATTCTAAATATCGTTTTTCATTTTCCATTTTCCACCCATAACAGAAGAAGACATTGAGACGTGTATAAATACGCACAGGGAGAACCTGAAACGCCATTTCCAGTTGGTGAAGGACCGGAACTCCCGCATGGGTGAGAGAGCCGTCCTGAGGAGGAGGTACACCAAGCTGGTTCTGTTGCGGAAGTTTCGGGGCGAAGAGGAGAAGAAGCGGGAGTTGAGTTCTTCGGGGGAGGAGCAAGCTCAAATACTGATTGACCGGTCTTCTTCTGAGGAATATTCCTCGACTTCCGTCGAGGAACTGTTTGACCCGGACGATGACGGTGTCGTTCCAAAGACCGTGATCATACACGGACCGACCGGTATCGGGAAATCTCTGACCGCCCACAAGATCATCTGTGACTGGGCCACCTACAATCTTTACGAAGGGAAGTTCGATTTCTTCTTCTATATAAGTTATAAGGATTTCAACAAGATCACCAAAAATGTGAGTCTAGCTGGACTTCTCGCCAAAACCAGCGGAGTCGGTCTGTCCCCCAGGGTCCTTCGGAACATTCTGAGCCGCAGGGAAAGGTTAGGGTTCTTGATTAGCAGCTTCGATCAAATGAAGTGCAATTTACGGGACCAAGGCGACCTCTGCCAAGACCCGTTTGAGGAGACCCACAAAGATGTCCTCCTGAGAAGCTTGCTCAAGGGACAGCTTGCCAAGGGAGCATCTCTAATCATCACCACCAGAACCTTTTTACTGGATCAGCTGCAGACTTTCTTACCAGATCCGCCCCGACACGTGGAAATTGTCGGGTATACAGCGGAAGCCCGGGAGTATTACATCCGGGCGTACTTTGGAAGCATAGACACGGAGATGGCTGTGGACATCACCAAAAGGAACGAAGTTCTCTTTAGTCTCTGCACTGTGCCTTTCATGTGTTGGGTCGTTTCCACCGTCACCAGGCAACAGATCTCAAACTATCCCTCGAATTTCACCACCGACACCTCCATGTTCCTCTACTACCTCAAGGGTTTAATCCTCTACCACAGTAGGGATGACGCTGTGGTTTCCTGCCTGAAGAAAGTCTGTGGTCTGGCCAACGAAGGTGTCCTCAATCGGAAAGTCCTCTTCGAAGAAGAAGACCTGAAACGGCACAAACTTTCCATGTCCTTGGTGGAATCCGTGTTCCTGAACAACGTCTTCTTCCATGGCGATGTGGAGAAACGCACCTGCTACAGCTTTGTCCACCACAGCTTTCAGGAGTTCCTGGCTGTGCTGTACTACGCCTTGTCCGGGGAGGGAGAGAGTGGCCGTTCCGGAATGAGGGTGGTGAGGGAGAGCACTTACCTGCCAGAGGTCTGTAAGGGGAAATCCTTAATGGACCTTCTGGAAAAACACCCGCATTTGGCCCTGCCCATCAGATTTCTCTTCGGACTCTTGAATCAAGCGCAGATTGAAGACTTCAACAGTAGCGCTGAGTGTAGCCTGTCCTTCCAAGGTACCACGGCCATGATTACGTGGCTCTTTGGGGGCGAAATAACTGAGTTCGATACGGAGCGCCTGTTGTTCCTCTACGAGACACGAGATGATGAGTTCATGCAGTATGTGGTCAACCGTGCCGTGAACCTGACCTTCTCGCAGAGCCAGAAACCTGACAACTGGGCCTACCAATTGGCCTTTTGTCTGAAGGCGTGTGCGGGCAGGAAAGTCACTCTGTCTGGGTATGTGCTGGACCGAGACAACCTGGCAGCCTTGTGTCCCGTGCTGAAGAAGTGTTCCCAGGTTTGGTAAGTGGACTTGAGTTCAATCGCATGCCTTCCATCCTTGGGGAGCCACTTTCCTGAACTTGTGTTCTTCTTGCAGCTTTCGAAGTTGTCGCTTTGCAGATGACGTGAACTCTCCGAAAGGTTGGAAGAACTCGTTGTTTGCATCAATGGTCATCCAGGACAGTCAAATCCAAGAGCTATGGTGAGGAGGAATCTTCCATGATCACCTATATCTGGGGGACCCCAATAATGTACAGCTGTCCACAGGCTCTTACTGATTCATTGTTGGATGGGGGATGGGAGAGTACTTCTGCTGACATAAAGACGACACCCCACATCACAAAATACTGCACCCCCAGATCTTTCACATCCCTCTGCTGCCATACACAGTGTACCCCACATCTTACCTGTACAATAGAGGAAGCACCCCACATCTTACCTCTACAATACGGGAGGCACCCCACATCATACCTCTACAATACAGCCGACATCCCATATCACAAAACACTGCACCCCCAGATTTTTCACATCCCTCTGCCGCCATACACAGTGTACTCCACATCATACCTCTACAATACAGCCGACAACCCACATCACAAAACACTGCACCCCCAGATCCTTCACAACCCTCTGCCCCCATACAAAGGGTACCCCACATCATACCTCTACAATACAGGAGGCACCCCACATTACGTTGTTCAGGTCATGAGACCTGTCTGTACCAAATACAGTCCACATATTAGACCTACATAGGAAATCCTGCACCCCCAGATCCTTCACAACCCTCTGCCCCCGTAAAAAGGGTACCCCACATCACGTTCAGGTCATGAGACCTGTCTGTACCAAATACAGTCCACATATTAGACCTACATATGAAACTGCACCCCCAGATTCTTCACAATCCTCTACCTATACAGTGTACCCCACATTATACCTCTACAATACTGCCGACACCCCACCGTGTGTTGGATGTAGACATGGACCGGGGTCGGGTTGTGTCCTATGGGCCGTGTGTTGGATGTAGACCTGGAGCGGGCTTGGGTTGTGTCCTATGGGCCGTGTGTTGGATGTAGACGTGTCCCAGGGTTGGGTTGTGTCCTATGGGCCTTGTGTTGGATGTAGATGTGGACCGGGGTCGGGTTGCGTCCTGTGGGCCGTGTGTTGGATGTAGACGTGGATTATGTCCTGTACATTGTGTATGGTAGGTAAGTTCCATCTCCTATCCATGATTCCTCGCCTTCTCTCTCTCCAGCCTGTTGGGTTGTATGTTGCCTCAATCCACGTGTGAAGTCCTTGACAACGCCAGCAGGCAAAGCCGCAGTCTCTCTATACTCTATGTGATGTTTAAAGTCAATACCAAGGAGGAACAAGAAGAAATGAGACGCTACCATCAGGTCTTTAAATCTCCAGAATGCACCGTGTCAACCAAAAAGTACGTCCTGTGTGTGTTTTTTGTACATGTATGTGCGTTTACATGTGTGTACAGGATATGTGTAGAGGTGTGTGACTCCAATGTAAATTGAATCCCTATCCAATGTGTGGTGTAGAGGCTCACAAGGAGGCTTCCCCCGAGATATTCCTACATGTCATGTACAGTGTATGCCAGTCTGATGACACGAGGAGGATTCCCCCCAGAAGGTCGAACCTTTCATATATACCCTGGACTGAGGATGATGGGAGCTCCTCTGATGGTCTGGAGGACATCCTGTGTCTGTTGGCCAATACTGGAGGCCTATGCTTGGAGGTCACAAATGTTCCTCCTCCATGTTTCACATTCATCGCTCTAACGGGAAATATTTTTTAGGCCCAAAAACCAGGTTAAAAAAAGGAAATCTATATAAAAAATCACACAAAACATTTTGTTTCCATTCTAGTAGGATTGTGTTCCAGGTAAGTGTCAGGTGGCCAGTCCCTCACAGATCTGCGGATAGTCCTGTGGAAGAGGACCAATGACATGGAGATACATTTGGCTTTCTGGACTCATGAGTAGTAAAAGGGTGGACTATAGAGAGCAGAGTACAGAGATCCTACTGGGGTCTCTGACCTGGAGAAAGGTCCAGGACCAAAACTCACCTCAAGTGAGAGGCCAAAAGTCACAGTCCCTGTATAATGTCCATATACTGGAGACATCATGAAATACCACCATTGTCCCCTCAGTGAGGACCACAGTCTCTGAGAAATGTCCATATACGTTTGATGAAATGCTTGGGCTTCATTGTCCAAGTTCACATACAATTCTTGTCCCTAATGAGGACCTCAGTCCAGAGTTTCATAATCAGTTTGAAATGTTTCGTTCTGTAGACATCAATGTGTTTGTTTCGTGTCCTGAACTCTTCTCTCTTTCTGCTTTTAGGATGTTGGGTAAAACCTGGTTCATGATGAGGTGCAAACGGGAGAGGGTTCCCTCCTTTGAGATGGGACCTCATATGAGATGGGACATGTTTGACCCGGAGGACTTTCCCTTCGACTTCCGCGCCCGGATTCTTTTTTCACGCAGACATCTGTGATCGCGGTTTGTCCTGGCATTGGCCTGTTGTCCTGGCATCGGCCTGCAGTTCTCTACAGACGTTCTCCGGGAGGCCAGAAGAACATTACATTTTCCTTTTTTATACGTTCTGCGAGAAGTTCGTTTGTTGGACTCGTCCCTTTTATTCTGTTACCAATCAGCACACGTAGATGGCGTGTCGGTTTTATATTTCCACAAATGTAATCATCGGACGACTTCTACCTTTTTTATAATTATATTCTGATTAAAGTTCTTTATTCTTTCTGTGGTTGTCACCTGGAACCTCGTCTGTCCCGTGTGTGTGTGTGTGTGATATGTCAGTTAGGGTCCCTCTATGTGAACTGCTAGTCCTCAACCCTGGATGGAAGTGTTTAACAGAAGATCGATGGATTGAAGAGTGCTGGATCGATGGGCACCAGAGTAGGAGAACTGGATGGAATAGCATTGATTGAAAGGTGCTAGATGGATGATCACTGGATTGAAGAGTGCTAGATCGATGGGCACCAGATGGAGGAGGATCGAAAGGATAGATGCCAGATGGATGATCACTGGAAGAGTGCTAGATCAATGGGCACCAGACAGAGAACTTGATGGAACAGTGTTGATTGGAAAAGTGCTAGATGGAGGAATGCTGGCTTGAAGAGTGCTAGATCGATGGTCACCAGATGGAAGATCAAAAGGAGAGACCCCAGATGGATGATCACTGGATTGAAGAGTGCTAGATCGATGTGCACCAGATGGAGGAAGATCAAAAGGAGAGACGCCAGATGGATGATCACTGGAAGAGTGCTAGATTGCTGGGAACTAGATGGAGGAGGATCAAAAGGAGAGACGCCAGATGGATGATCACTGGAAGAGTGCTAGATTGCTGGGAACTAGATGGAGGAGGATCAAAAGGAGAGACGCCAGATGGATGATCACTGGAAGAGTGCTAGATTGATGGGCAGCAGATGGAGGAGGAACAAATGGAGAGATGCCAGATGGATGATCACTGGAAGAGTGCTAGATTGATGGGAACCAGATGGAGGAAGATCAGATGGATTATCATTGTATTGAAGAGTGCTAGATTGATGGGCACCAGACTAGGAGAACTGGATGGAACAGCATTGATTGGAAAGGTGCTAGATGGAGGAATGCTGGATTGAAGAGTGCTAGATCGATGGGCACCAGATGGAGGAGGATCAAATGGAGAGACGCCAGATGGATGATCACTGGATTGAAGAGTGCTAGATCGATGGGCACCAGACAAAGAGAACTGGATGGAAAAGCATTGATTTGAAAGGTGCTGGATAGATCACTGGATTGAAGAGTACAAGATTAATGGACACCAGATGGAGGAGGATCAAATGGAGAGACGCCAGATAGATGATCACTGGAAGAGTACTAGATTGATGGGCACCAGATAAAGGGCACCAGATGGAAGACAACTGAAAGGAGAGACGCCAGATGGATGATCACTGGATTGAAGATTGCTAGATCGATGGGTACCAGATGGAAGATCAAATGGAGAGACGGCAGATGGATGATCACTGGAAGAGTGCTAGATCGATGGGTACCAGACAAAGAGAACTGGATGGAACAGCATTGATTGGAAAAGTTCTGGATGGAAGAACTCTGGATTGAAGAGCACAAGATTGATGGACACCAGATGAAGGATGATTGAAAGGAGAGACGCTGGAAGGATGATCACTGGAAGAGTGCTAGATCGATGGGCACCAGACACTGGATTGAGGAACAATGATTGGAAAGGTACCAGATGGAAGAATGGTGAATTAAAGAGTCAGAACAATGGGCACCAGATAAGGAGTATTTAATGGAAGAGTATTGAACCATAAGGTGGTGGATTGAAGAGTTCTAGATCGATGGGCAACAAAAAAAGGAGTGCTGTATGGATGAGCCCCAGGTGTAAGGTCACTGGATTGAAGAGCATCTGATTGTTGAGCACCAGATGGAAGAGCGCTGTACTTTTCTGTACAGTTGAGAAGATCCAAATCATGCTTAGAACATCCCCCCCCCCTTTCTCTGATTCTGTACATTAAGAATACATTTTGTACCTGCCGGTCCTTGTGTTGTCCCCGATGTATGTAGAGGAGAAGACAATCGGGTCCACCTAAACACATTTACTACCCAAGTATTGATGTTCATATATTATACATGCCATGTGTTACTGCCACGTGGGTTGGGTCACCCCTCTAGAAGTCCTATAAGAATCTGTCCTAAGAGATGGGTTAAAGCCTGGATGGCTAGAGATCCATAATACGCCCCACTCTGGAACCAGAGATGGGTTAAAGCCTGGATGGGTAGAGATCCGTAACACGTCCCACTCTGGAACCACAGATGGGTTAAAGCCTGGATGGGTAGAGATCCGTAACACGTCCCACTCTGGAACCACAGATGGGTAGAGATCCGTAACACATCCCACTGTAGAAGCACAGATTGGTATTGATCCATAATGGACCTCCCCCTTTGTAACCATGGATAAGTTTGGTTCTATAGTATAGATCCATAATATATATCCCCTCTGTAATGCTGGACGGGTATTGATGCACAATGAACCCCAGATGTGTATACACTAGATCAATGATGTATGCTTGGACATCCCATTTCAAACCATGGACCTTAACCCCTTCCAGTCCGGACACTTTCCCCCCCTTCCAGTCCAGACACTTTCACCCCCCCTTCCAGCCCAGGCCAATTTTCAGCTTTCAGCGCTATCACACTTTGAATGACAATTGCGCGGTCATGCAACACTACCCATAGGAATTTTTTTGAGACAGATAAAGCTTTATTTTGGTGGTATTTATTCACTGCTGGGATTTTTATTTTATTGCTAGATAAATGAAAAGGTCTAAAAATTTTGAAAACTTTTTCTTATAACATTTTGCAAATAAATAATCTTTCTTCATAAATCTTGGCCAAAATGTATTCAGTAATCTTTTTAGCAGAACAAAAAAAAATAACCCAAATTAGTTTATAACCAAAAATTATAATTTTTCACAATTTTTTTTTTTTTTTTTTTACATTTTTATTTTATTTTTTATATATATTTTTACATACTGTCACCCTAGCAGTACAGTGTCACCATGTCTTTATGGAGCTGGCTTTGTACACGGGGGACAGTCATGGGGGAACAGAAAGGGTCCTTCACCAAACTGGTCATCCATGTCTTTATGGAGCTGGCTTTGTACATGGGGACAGTCATGGGGGAACAGAAAAGGGTCTTCACCAAACTGGTCATCCATATCTTTATGGAGCTGGCTTTGTACACGGGGGACAGTCATGGGGGACAGAAAAGGGTCTTCACCAAACTGGTCCTCCATGTTTTTACGGAGCTGGCTTTGTACACGGGACAGTCAAGGGGGAACAGAAAAGGGTCTTCACCATACTGGTCAGCCATGTCTTTACGGAGCTGGCTTTGTACACGGGACAGTCAAGGGGGAACAGAAAAGGGTCTTCACCAAACTGGTCAGCCATGTCTTTACGGAGCTGGCTTTGTACACGGGACACTCATGGGGGGACAGAAAAGGGTCTTCACCAAACTGGTCCTCCATGTTTTTACGGAGCTGGCTTTGTACACGGGACAGTCAAGGGGGAACAGAAAAGGGTCTTCACCATACTGGTCAGCCATGTCTTTACGGAGCTGGCTTTGTACACGGGACAGTCAAGGGGGAACAGAAAAGGGTCTTCACCAAACTGGTCAGCCATGTCTTTACGGAGCTGGCTTTGTACACGGGACAGTCATGGGGGGACAGAAAAGGGTCTTCACCAAACTGGTTATCCATATCTTTACGTAGCTGGCTTTGTACACGGGGGACAGTCATGGGGGAACAGAAAAGGTTCTTCCCCAAACTGGTCATTCATGTCTTTACGGAGCTGGCTTTGTACACGGGGGACAGTCATGGGGGAACAGAAAAGGGTCTTCACCAAACTGGTAATCCATGTCTTTATGGAGCTGGCTTTGTACACAGGACAGTCATGGGGGAACAGAAAAGGGTCTTCACCAAACTTACCACAACTGGGATGTCACTCTTAGTCTGACCCATCACCTTAAGACTTGTTTGACTGGGTGACCCTACCAGGGTGAAGGTTTCCATTGGCACAACTTAACTTTCAGGCACACAAGCCATTCCAGGATTGGGGTGGTGGGGGTTATTCTTTCCCATTTAAATCTCTTCATAGCGATTGGACAGAAGGATCGGGGGAAGTTTGTATCCAAAAAAAATAAGAACTGTAAAGAGTCCTGATGAAGGTTCTCAGGTAGTCTTGCCTGTCTGTAAAGAGCTCAACGACCAAGGTGGGTCTCCGATCATATCTTGTGCAATGGTTGACATCCGAGGTAGATGCTTCTGGTCAGGTGTAGTGTCAGGTATGGTCCTGAGGCCTTCAGGCATGTGGTGCAATATCTTGACCATCAGGGCGATGGCTGTGATGAGCCGTGTGGACCTTTTCAGATGGATCATCTTCATTATCACCCCCCTGTTGATGTCTATCTGGGTCTTCAGAAGCTGTTCCACATGATGATCCAAGTGGTGTTTGATGGTAGGATGGTCAATGTACTGGCAGGAGTAATAGACGGGGTTCATAGTGGGGACATGGCCTCACAGCAGATCTTTTGATGTTTTGTGGGAAGGTCTTCATCACCAGGCTTGATCAAATGTACGGCCATAATGAGCCATTCTGTGGCTATCCGGGCAAGACGTTCTCTATTCATACTCATCATTATGAGGATCTGATCCACAAGGCTTCATCTGTAGTACAGCCATGGGATGGGGAATTGTGAGCTGTACTACCGTCCGAGGTCTGGAACTCCTCCTAAGACTTATCATGGACCCATCCTCAGCTGCAGCATGGGGGGGATGGGGAAGTGTGAGCCGTGCTACTGTCCGAGGTCTGGAGCTCCTCCTAAGACTTATCATGAACCTATCCTCGGCTGCAGCATGGGGGGGGATGGGGAGCGGTTAGCCCTGCTACTGTCCATCAGGCAACCGAAACCCCACATGG